TATAGTGAAAAGATCTCTCTGTTTTCTTCGATACCATTGTTTTTTTTTCGGTGGTGGTCGTGTGTACAATTTATGATTAATTGTTTCAACAAAACAAAACAAAAAAAAATCCTTTCGTTTGTTTCTCTATCCAATCATCCTTCCATTCATTACATTTTGGAATTCTTGTGAAACTTTCCGCTAATTAGTCATCACCGGGTTAACACAAACACACATTGGTTGAAAACAATGCTAATAATAATTATAATGGTGGTCATCATCAACGAGGGAAAAAAGATTGAGTGGTGACACGCGTTTCACAATGTTATTTTTTCCTACCGTATCTCGTCGAATGATGATGATGATTGTTTGGTAATTATTTATTCTCCAAAAACATGACATTTGTATTTGGTGATGACCATCGACAATTCCACCACCAACAATAACAACCACAAAAATATTCTGTCATCATCCATAATTGTAATATGATGACATTTTTTTTGGATCGATCCAAATTTTTTTGGCTTGTTTGCTTGTTTCACACAATTAATTCCTCATCATCATAATCATCATTGTTTTTTTTAAAAAATTTTGTTCTGGTTGAATGAACCAGAATTCTGGATATTTTCTTTTCGAAAATCTTTTTTCTCTATACCGTGAGATCTATGTTTGTTTGTTTGTTTGTTTGTTATTGATAAATGAATTTATTACATTTTAATTATATGGTCCAGTTATTAAATATTTTGATTTTTTGTTTTGTTTTGTTTTTGTTTCCACGTTTGTTTCCATAACTTTCGAGAAAATAGCTTTCGGGTCAATTCTTTTTCTCACTGCAGAATAAGTTTCTGGAACCAAATTTGCTATGCTCCTGCATATTGAATTAACGTTTGAAGAATTTTATCTCTTTTTAATTAAAATTGACCTGAATTTTTTTAAAAAAACGAACAAAATTTTTTTTAAATTTTAATCTCTATGCGATGCTTTTTTCATGCACGTGACTTATGCAATGATCCTTTTTTTTGTTTTCCAAAATTTGTTTGTTTTTGTCACTGAAATTTATTTATTTATTCTGGATCATTTTAATTATTCTAGTTGTTGATGACAGAAAAGCAAAAAAAAAAACAAAATATAGCCAAAAGCGGTCAAAGGGTTTATTGAATTCTTTGCTTTCATAAATTCGTTCATGAAGAATATTCATAGTGTGCTTTTCCTTCCTGTTGTTTTGAATGGCGATTTTTTTTTCATTTTAATTAATTTCCGCTTATTGTTTTTTTTCATTTTGTTTTGTTTGGTGTACACTTTGCGTTCTGCAAACACACGCATAGGATTTATGCGAAATGAATAGGAAAGAACTTTCCACATGTTCCATATTGACATATTTGGTTGTTCCATAAATAATGTTCCCAAAAAATAACAATGAATTGCGTCATCTGTTGGTAATCGGTTGAACCTGGAACATTATGATTTTCGCTTGGTTTTTTTTGCCGGATCGATATCAAGAAAAAAAAATTACAGCGTGCTCAGAGCGAACTATTCACATACACTAGGATACACTTCTTTTCCTTTTTATTACGGAAGATAGAATAATAAAAAACAATAAAAAAGAAAAAGAAATTCGAAATTACATAGAAATGAATTGAAAAAATGAATACATTTTACAAACAAAAAATAACAATATTAAATGAAAATTAGAAAACAAAAAACATAAAATCCTTCATTTATAACAACTTTTTTTTTTCGATCTTCCACGTCCTCTAGATAGAATTGTATCGTTACATGTTTTTCAACCATTGCCTGGTTTAAGACTGATTCCAACTATTTCTTTTTTCATTATTTGTTAAACTTTTCGTATTTTCGGGATTTAGTAATTGATATTCGTTAAGATGTTTTTGACGGATCATTTATAAGAATGTTCCACAGCAATGGGGAACTCCAAGGGCATCCACTCGTAATTAATTTCTTGATACGATTGGTCAAAAAGTCTTTAAAGATTGCATATAATAGATTCGTAGGCACATCATAATAAAGTAATTTTTTTCAATAAAGTTCAATGAATTGATTTTTATCATTGCAACAATGAGAAGTTGCTCCCTGAATCTAAAATAAAACTTGATTAAAACTTTTGTCCATTCGCTCGATCAAGATCTCTTGAATCGTATGTCAATGTAGATTCTTTATATGCCCATTGCAAATCCTTTTGTCTTTTCATTGTTGTTAATTCCATAATGTACGTACAC